GGAAACCTTTCTGGTAAAAGCTTTATCTGACTTATGTAAGGAAGCATGAAGGAACAGCACTAAATGATTCTCTCTAAACCCAGATTCAAATTATAATTTGATGTAAGATCCCACATCTTACATCAAATTACCCCCTTCACAGTAACTAATGGCAGACACATTGCACAACCGCGCTGAAATGTTGTGATCTTTGTCACGTCTGAAGTGCCAGCACAGACTGTGTGGGTGAAATAATGACAGCTCTAGTTATGCTGTTTCTGGCCTCCTGCCACGCATCGAGGGATGCAGATTATTTTCTGACATGTCAGAGAATTTTTGTCCTGGATGCTCAAGTGTGAAAAGCGTCGTGAGTCAAATGGCATCTCTCGCAAAGCTGGGCTGTGGATCTGGCGACAGATTGTGGGCTGGCAGACATTAAAGACAGAGCACCTAACTCAAAACACTCAACAGTAAAACCTAGTAATGGAAAAAGCTTTCTGCCATAAAGACTTTGTCACATAGAACATCAGAACTACAGCCTCCATTAGAAGTAAGTGTCAGGTATAACTGTCAGATATAACAGCATCAATTAATTTGAAGATGCAATGAGAATATAATGGAATGGAATGGAATCTCAAATGTTTTATTTCCTTGCTGCACCAGAAATGTACGCTGTGGGGAAGATTTACTAATTTTTTTGCTATTGTAAACTCAATTTTGGCTTTAAAAAATGGCCCTTTAGCACCCATAACACAATAAAAGGGGTGGTCACTGCTCTTTTGCGCTTTTTCTCATCGCATATACTTTTACTCAAGTAAATGTATTTCTACATTTACACAAGCACAGGATTTTTGTGTATATGTGTAAATGTATACGAGGAGTTGTATGGGGAAGTTTGGGCACCCTTGGCCAAATTTGTTTATTTGTTTATTTATATGATCCCCATTAGCTGCTGTCACAATAGCCGCTCTTCTTCCTGAGGTCATATAGCATATTTTGTGATTTCTGAAGTGAAATGTAGTTAATACAACCTCTGAAGAAAGCCATTTTGTAAAGTAACATTCTCTGCAAATCACTGCTATCAGAAAAAAAAACTCTTGCCTCTATTTTTGTCGTTTTTCAGTTTTTTAGCTAATTTGAAAATGCCTGTCGCCCTTTATATTGTGTGTAAATTTCATGAAAAATTGACCAAAAGACACGGCCCAAAATGACTTGGAAAAAGTCTGGTTCCATAGACTTACATTAAAAAGAAAGTATGTTTTCTCCTTCTCCTGTAAAGTTCTCTTTTTGGAGATAAGAGGTTTTGTTTCCAACAGCAGTGAAATGTTAATGTACAGTTATTTTATATTTGATTAACTTAAAAATAAAAAAAATAGTAATTGTGGCATGTGCACAAATTTGGACAGCCTACTTATCAGTACTTAGTAACACTCCTTTTGGCAGATATCACTGCTCGAAGACATTGTAGCCAGCTAGGACATATTCACCCACACTTCACATTCTGTGGTATTTTTGGGATGTCTTGCATGCACAGCACAGACTTTTAATAATGATCAATTCAGAGGACTGTGATGGCCATGCCAAAAGCTTCAGCTTGCATCCCTTAAAGTAGTTAATGGTGGACTGCTGGTTTAGATCATTTTCCTGTTGTAGGCACCAACTTATTTTTATCTTGATTTTCTTGACTGACTGTATCACATTCACTTCTAGACTTTCCTGATACTTAGTGGAGTCCATTCTTCCATCTACCCGTAAAGTGTTTCCTGTGTCACAGGCTGCCACACAACCCCAAAGCATAATAGATCCACCCCCATGCTTAACAGCTGGCAAGGTGTTCCTTTTATCAAATGCTGATACATTTTTTCCAAACATACTTGTGATTGTGGCCAAAGAGTTCCTTTTTTACTTCATTAGTCCATAGCACTTGTTTCCAAAATGTCTCTGGCTTATTTGGATGTTTTTCTGCACACGTCAGATGTTGACCTTTGTGATGACATTGCAGGTAAGGTTTCCTTCTGTCCATGCAGATCATATTTGTGAAACCAACACTGTACACGGTGCACCACCATTCCTGTGTCAGGTAAACCCTTCTGCAGGTCTTTTGCTCTTATAGGGGGGTTTTACTTTCTGGCCAACATACGAGTAGTTCTATATGAGAGTCTTCTTATTCTTCCGCATTGTGTCTTGATTTCCACAGTTTCCCCTAACTACCCTTTCTTAATGACATTTTGGACAGAGGAAATCTTTTAATAGCCTTCCCCTGAGGTACATATGGATGTTAATTCTTTCCTAGAGAGTCATAGCATTTATTATATTCTGGAATTGCAAACAGCTGACAATTCGTAATGACAATTTTGGATCTGTCTAACCAGTCCTAACGAGGTAATTAAGACCTAATGAGTTAATTAGGTCCTGAGACTTTACAACTGGAAGGATGTCCAAACTTTTACATATTAACAACGGTAAAAACAACTGTGCATTAACTTTTGCAGAAAAATATTGTTTTGTTTTTTTGAATAGTTTGCTGTACAGGTTGTGTTTACTTCTTTTTACTTAAAAAAACAACAAAATATGTAATTTGTCTTGGGGTGCCCAAACTTTTCCATGCAAGAGTATATGTATATATAAATTTGTGTTTACATGAAAATGTGTAAAAAAATTATTACTTAAGCTCAAGGGCTTGAAAGCATTCCATAGAATTGATATATGGGGCTCTTAACCCCTTAAATGGCCAGGGCCCGCTGGCAGTTCCAAAGCTTTATCATGCACTTCTATAACAGGGGTCGGCCGCATGTGGCTCTTTTACTGCCCTGTTGTGGCTCCACAGCAGAATTAGATTTGTAAGTAAAAAAAAATAATCCTTCTTTGTAGTAAAATAAAGCTCTGCTGATCGTTCTAACGCAGTTTAACAATAAATGGTCTTAAATGCTAAAGTTAATATAGCCTACAACTGCTAATTCACCCTTTAACCCTGAAGATTGGCGCAAATGGACTAATTTGCATTTACAATCACTCCACCTGTTTTCCCTGGTACTTTTAATCTGCAACACCAAACTGAAACTAACAAACACCAAAAAGTCACAAAAATCAGCTTCTCATTTGAATTTTCAGCTTGAAATCAGCTTCTCGTTTGAATTTTCCCATTCCACTTTAAATGGTGCAGTAGTTATACTCTGGCACCTCAGGCACCACTTAAGGTGGAATGGGAAAATTCAAACGAGAAGCTGGCGAGTGAGAAGCGATTTCAGGCTTGCAAAAAGTTAATGGTAAGAGACGTTTTACAAGAAACTACTCTACTTTTGCAAAAGTTTCCTGCCAGAGATGCGAGAACAGCAGCTATAGCTGAGCTAAAGCTTAAGCAGAGCACAGTAAGTCTACATTTTCATTATATTATATTTTTTAGCCTATAATAGTACAGTACAGCAGAAACTGAGACATATTTACAGCCAAGATGTAAATTTTGTGGCTCCCAAGGTGGTTTGATTTTTTTTGAAAGGACAAAACGGCTCTTCTTAACATTCGGGGTGCCGATCCCTGTTCTGTAACCTAAGAATAGCTCAACCAGTTTGCATTGAAGTCCCTGTAGTTACTGAATAACAATCCTTAGTATGTAATAAGCCTGGGATTGTAAGGGTTTAACAAGGCCTTTGCATTATACATTAAACTCTTTTATAACAGTGTTATGCATGAAACAAATGTCCATCACATTAGTTTACGGGCCCTTATGTCAGTACAATGTCATTTACTTCATAGAACATCTTAGATCATGTTGCAATTACTGGTATATGCCTTGCAATAATATTTAAGAACTGCTTTCAATTTTTTTTTGGAATAAGCTGTTTAAGACTGTCCCTATCTGGTCAGCCTTTACATCAAGTGTCAGCGATTGTTTGCACTCCTTAAGTTCCCAGGCTTGTTACTTTTTAAGGCTTATTATTCTGTAACGACATGGAAAACAATGCAAATAGGCTGAGCTATATTTAAGTGAGGAATGAAAGCTTGGCCTATCATTTAAGGGGTTTGAGAAAGAGGGAGAGGAGGGAAAATCGAGCACTGTGTGAATTCTTCTAAAAGCGATATGGGGTCCAGTATGTTTTTCAGTGCTATTTTTCTTCCACTGCGATGAGTCAGAACAGGGGAAAGAGTAAGAGAGCGAGAAAGCTCGGAATCTGCCAGCACCCCCACCATACCTCGCACCAAATCTAATATTTAACGCTGACCTATTTTAAAGGCTGCGGGGTACGGTATTCTGGACCTGCTCAGGTCGCTTAAAGCAGTCTAAAAGAGAAAAAAGTGGACATTCAGACAGTGTCATTCTCTCAAAGCTCTCATACTAAAGCTTCCAACCTTGCTGAAGGGAAAAAAGCATTTTGCTCCATATATGAGGTTGTTTGTGGCTGTATTTTGAACATGCTAATAATAATAGCATATTGGTGTAAATCTTAGATAAGTAGGGCACATGTACTCAGCTGGGGGAGGGGCTGTTTGAGACTCCCCTCGAGACTGCTCTGAGTGACTGTCCCTGTAAATGTCCGTGTTCACTCGTTCCCTTGTAGCCCAGAGGAATATCGCATCACCATAGCAACGTCAAAGAGGTGTATGGGTATGCTGTCACCTCCAACTAAGCAGTAAACAGCACTGAATGCTGAACATCAGACTCCACTGTGCTCCAGTTCTTCTGTCCACAGCTTCTGTCCCAGTCAACAGCTGTTCTAGTGTAAACTGTTTGTATGTTCTCATAAACCTCGATCAAGAAGTCAGTCGACAAGCCTGGAGACTGCTGAGGGAAATCCGTGCGCCAGCCTCGCTGCGTGGCATCGTTTAAATGATGCGCTGTCACATCCTGTTATGCTGTTATTCAGCACCTGTTCAGGGCCGCTCCAGTGCCGCGGACGGCGACAAACCCATTAAACAGCTCAAGGCTGAAAACCTTGGTGGAATTTAATCATCTGCGGTGAACAGATCCTGAGCTGTAATTGAAAACGGCTCCTCAGGGCCGCAATGGAACGAGATAGACTCACCACTTTGAAGTCTTCGGGCCTGCACGGTGACCCCCTGAACTGACAGGCGAGGAGCATGTCTCTGATGTCGTGACCCGTTCGGTTATAGAACTCGAGCATGTTGAAGGGCCGGGGCTTGAAGTTCTGGAAGTCAGCTTTGGTCTTCAGAGCCTCCAGAACGCTCTCCTCAATCAGGTGAACATCGCGAATCTCATACCTAAAGAGAGGGAGAGAGAGAAAAGAGGACGTTATGAAAAGGTTAACTGATTTTTTGAATGAACGATTGATTTTATTAGACCATATTTTCAAAACATACAGTACATTTAATTAATTAATGATTCTGCGCTCAAGTAGAACTACAGACAGGAACCTTCTACCTTTACTCAAATAAGTTAATGCATTCTCTACAGACAGCATGCACAAATAGGGCCTTTCTGCAATTTATAAACGCCCGATTTCTTTTTGTTTGCTGATATTGGATAAAAATAAAACATAAAATATAAAAGGTCACATTCTATACTTTATATGTTAAATTCAGCTGATAAACAGTTATTGTGCATTATAATGTGAATTAGTGTGTTCTCTGTAGAGTTTTATTTGTTTACTTAGAAAATCTACAAAATTACATTTGACCAGGAGTACCCAAACTTTTGCATATGACTGTATTTCCACTGTGATCCCTAAGATACAAAATTAAACCAGGCAGCAGAAACGATATAAGAAGCATGAACCTTTGTTATAATCTACACTGTAAAAAAATTAAGTTAGGTCAGCTCCAAATTTTTGCATAACTTTTGAAAAATGTTTTTAAACTAAGTTCAGTCGGAGGTTCTCCTAGCTTACATCTTTAGAAACCCTGCCCGTCTCCTGGTGATCATGCAGTTAGACAGCTGTGCTACAGGTAACAGTCTATCTAAGCACAGACAGTGCTCTCGGCGTGAGCATGAGGAACTAATCAAGCGCAGATCACACTGAGTTCTTTTTTTGGATTCAGACATTTAAGCTCCTGAGTGCTGTGACTGTCTAACTGCCTAATTAACAAAAGATCATAAGTGTGAAGCCTGGCGATGCCTCAGCCTTCAATGTCAAAAGTCTGAGAAGAAGAAGGCCTCACCCCCTCGTTGTCATATGGGGAACAGGTAATGACTAATTTAGGGGGAGGAACAGAGGAAAAATCCACCAAAAATGTAAAAAATGTTAGCGTATAAGGAAGCAACAAGTTCACTGTTTGTTTGTACATCCATAACAATGTACATTCTGACTATTCATATCATTTGGATACTTGAATATCTGTAAGACTTCACCAATGGATAAAAAATGGGGACTTCATCATATTAACACATCATAAAACACAAGCAAGGTAAACTAGTACTTGCAGGGTAAATCATTTGTAGCAAATCTTTTGGCCACGGCATTTGAATTATCTTCTGCCAAATGAGCCAATGAGCTAACACTAGAGCTGACTGCTGCAGAGGTAGATGGTGACTTCTTGTCTTCTACCCAAAGTTTTTCTCTTCAGTGGATGATGTGCCAATGCTAGTTTGTTGAGGTTACACTGAGAACAGAGAGATGTCTGTTCTAGCAAACGCCAGCTACAGTAGTTGCACTATCCCGACCTTCAAAATCAATCCCTTAGCAACACACTCATGTTAAAAAGAAATTCCACCAAACAAAGTTGTTAGGGGTGGATGTCTGGTTCCTATCACCACCACTGTGATAATTCTGACTTGGCTTGAATGACTGACCACTCTGAATGACTTTGTTCACATCTTAACCATTTAATTATGAAAAAAAGGGTGGAATTCCTCTAAATGCACTCGTATTGCATGGTGGAAAAGTATAATATACTCACTTCATATGAGCAGAAATTTCACTGAATTGTAACTCTGACTTGCCATGATACAACATAGCGAATATCTGAGTAGTGATTTCTGTATTCAAATACTGGCAGCTTTCAAAGTTAGAAAGTATTCAAGCAGATTTTCACTAAATTATGATTAAGTTTCACTCTATTTGTCTGAATGCTAGAGACAGCAATCGTGTAAAAGATCAAAAAAGAGCTGATACTTTAACAAAACTGTGAAACAGCAAATGGGATTCAGCTCATTCATTTCATAAATGACCACAGAAAGCTTTTTCAAAAGCTTTGGCTTTCACGTTCAGTTCCCTGGTCAGGCACTGGAGGGCAAAGCACTAGACAGAAGAAAGAGAATATAAGAGTGGGTGTATGTGTTTATGTGTGACTGAGTACAAGAATGGAGCGACAGGCATGACTAAAGTCAAATTCAAACCCCGGTCACACTGTCACTACGCTGCCATGTGGCACTGCAACACTGCAGCAACAAGATTTTGCACTATATTTCACTGCCAAATGGCAGCTGCCATCGATAGCAGAGCCAAAAATAGCATTTAATTTCGAGGTTCTGTGAGTGTTGCACCTCAGCAGTCCACAGACCTTCAACACCCACTCTGATGCCTGTGGGAGATTGATTACCTGTTGCCAGCAAACTCTATTTCTGATGACCATTCTCTCCCTGATTAAAAAGAACACTGAACTCTATTAGGTTTCAATCCTCTGCAGAAAAAAGATGGAGAGAGAATGACTAGAATGCTGGAGACTAGAATGGAAATGAATCTTTCTCTCTGCTGCAGCCGAGCACGTAAACATGCACCCTGCTGTGTTGGGGTACCAGCAGTCTTGGAGGCCTATACAACACTGCACAGTTTTGTGATCCAGATCTAATCATCCAACATCAGTACCTGACCTCAATAATGCTCTTACAGCTACCGCCTCCCAGCTGTTTACTTAGTCTGCATAATCCCCCGTGTTTATATAAATCAAGATAGACACAACGTAACAGTGTGAGAGTTACTTCAACACTGTAGGAGTTAAATCATCATTGTGAGGGTTGATTCAACATTACAAGAGTGATTTCAAAACTGTAAATTAACTCTGTAAGTGTTAATCCAACACTACAAGAATTATTCAATAGTGTAAGACTAACCGAACACTGTAAGAGTTAATTCAACACTGAAAGAGTTAATCCAGCACTGTATAAGTAATCCAAAACTGTAACAGTTAATCCAACACTCTAAAAGTAATCCAACACTGCAAGAGTTAATCCAGTACTGTAAATGTAATCCAACACTGCGAGTTAATCCAACACTGTAAGAATAATTCAACACTGCAAAAATAATTCAACACTATGAGAGTAATTCAACACTGTGTGATCTATGTAAGAATAATTTAACACTATAAGAGTAATTCAACACTGAATTAGTTAATCCAGCACTGTTAGAGTAATTCAACACTGTAAAAGTAATTTAACATCGAATGAGTTAATCCGACACTGTAAGAGTAATTCAACACTGAATTAGTTAATCCAGCACTGTAAGAGTAATTCAACACTGAATGAGTTAATCCAGCACTGTAAGAGTAATCCAACACTGAATGAGTTAATTTAGCATGGTAAGAGTAATTCAACACTGTAGGAGTAATTCAATACTAAATGAATTAATCCAGCACTGTAAGAGTAATTCAACACTGTAAGAGTTAAATCAACAGTGTAAGAGTAATTCAACACTGTTAGAGTAATCCAACACTGTAAAAGTAATCAAACACTGCAAGTTACTCCAATACTGTAAGAGTAAGTCACCACTGTCAGAGCATTTCAACACTGTGAAGGTAATTGAATATAGAAAGAGTTAATCCAGCACTGTATAAGTAATCCAACACTGTAACAGTTATTCCAACACTCTAAGAGTAATCCAACACTGCAAGAGTTAATCTAGTACTGTAAGTGTAATCCAACACTGCAAGAGTTAATCCAACACTCAAAGAATAATTCAACACTGCAAAAATAATTCAGCACTACGAGAGTAATTCAGCACTGTGTGATTCAACTATGTAAGAGTAATTTAACACTGTAAGAGTGATTCAACACTGAATGAGTTAACCCAGCACTGTAAGAGTAATTCAACACTGTAAGAGTAATTCAACACTGTAAGAATTAAATTAACAGTGTAAAAGTAATTCAGTACTGTAAGAGTAGTTCAACACTGAATAAATTAATCCAGCACTGTAAGCGTAATTCAACACTGTGAGAGTAATTCAACATTGTGAGAGCATTTAATTATTGTAAGAGTAATCTAACAATCTAAGTCATCCAACACTGTAAGAGTTAATTCAACACTGTAAAAGTTATTTAACACTGAATGAGTTAATCCGACACTGTAAGAGTAATTCAACACTGATTTAGTTAATCCAGCACTGTAAGAATAATTCAACACTGAATGAGTTAATCCAGCACTGTAAGAGTAATTCAACACTGAATGAGTTAATTTAGCATGGTAAGAGTAATTCAACACTGTCGGAGTAATTCAATACTGAATGAGTTAATCCAGCACTGTAAAAGTAAGACAACACTGTAAGAGTAATCAAACACTGCAAGTTACTCCAATACTGTAAGAGTAAGTCACCACTGTCAGAGCACTTCAACACTGTAAGGGTAATTGAACACAGAAAGAGTTAATCCAGTACTGTATAAGTAATCCAATAATAATGAGTAATTCCAACACTCTAAGAGTAATCCAACACTGCAAGAGTTAATCTAGTACTGTAAGTGTAATCCAACACTGAATGAGTTAATCCAACACTCTAAGAATAATTCAACGCTGCAAAAATAATTCAGCACTACGAGAGTAATTCAACACTGTGTGATCCAACTATGTAAGAGTAATTTAACACTGTAAGAGTGATTCAACACTGAATGAGTTCATCCAGCACTGTAAGAGAAATTCAACACTGTAAGAGTAATTCAACACTGTGAGACTAATTCAACACTGTGAGAGCATTTAATTATTGTAAGAGTAATCTAACAATCTAAGTCATCCAACACTGTAAGAGTTAATTCAACACTGTAAAGTAATTCAACACCATAAGAATAATTCCAGTGTAAGAGCAAATTATAAATTCAACACTGTAAGAGTTAATTCTACCCTTAAGAGTTAACACTATGACAGTTAATTCATTAATGCACCGTGAGAGCTTATTTAACACTAAAGTATTTCTGCACAGTATCTCACCACTGCAATGTAATTCAACACTCTAAGACCCCATTCACATTAACGTGCATCCTGGGTGATCAGATCATGAGTGGACAGTGCTAAGTTCAGGTGTAAATGGAGTATAATATGTCTTGGAGACCACCTTCGGAGGTCGTTAGGGACACTTTTGATCACATAAAATTTGCGGTGCGAACGCTAAAGCTCCTTGATGTGTCCTCGACAGTGTCGAAGGGCCACCTTAATCAGCTGCTTCATCACAATAGAGATGAAAGCAGCTGCTGTAGCTTCGTTTTCGTCTCTTCTAGCGAGCTGTGTTAGTGCTTCATGTAGTCTGAATATTTGTAACAGCCCTTTCATTTACATGAACCTTGGCTCACACTACATTTTTGTCTGACAACAATGTAAGGCAGCAAGAGACGTAAATGTGGCGTGGTAAATGCGGGTGGTCATAAAATTCAGTCACCGCAGGCACATTTGAGACTCATGGAAATGGCGTAAACAGCTATACGTATCAGCCCACTTAGGATCAGATCACTCGAGATGCTGTTAATATAATAGGTGTGAATCTAAGTGTTAATGCAACACTGTAACACTGATTCAATACTTAACACAGTCAATTCTACATTTCGACAGTTAATTCTACACAGTGGGGTGGGGGGTGGTTGCACGGGGGTATGATGTTGTGTATTGGTTGGAACAAATGACCACCACAGGGCTCTAATTAAGGTCCGGATATGAGCCGCGTGCCTGATTTCATGCAGTCAGTTTTGAATATGACTGCATGCAGCCGTTGAATCACACCTTCTTTGCGGTGAGTCACACACCTACTGCTGCTCACCACAGCACTCAACTCCACACACACACACACAAACACACACCTTGAGTTGAGCAGTGCCAGCAGCTCCCCGGCGTGGTACAGGTCATTGCGGGTGACCCTGCCAAAGCGGAAGGCATTCAGGTTGCAGATTGTCACGGCGGGAAAGACCATGGCGGGTGCAACAACCTCATCCAGTTTGGTCACGTGCGGATACTCCAGGTAGAAGAGCACACGGTCAACACACACACACAGCAGGAATGCCACGGAGCTGAGGAAGAAGAGCAGCCACAGGCAGCACCTCACTGTGATCCTGTCGTAGGAGAAAATGTGCGCGATGCCGTGCAGCGTTGACATGTGTGCGAACACCTGGAGCGGAGGGGGCTCGTCCACAGGCACCGGTTCCACCTTGAGATCCATCACAGTAGCGGGCTTCATCCGAGAACTGCCCTTCTCTCACAGCAAAGCCAGATGACCAGTGATCAACCTCTCCCTTCAATCCACCAAGTTTGGTTCAGATACCTTTGAAATAAAAAAGCATCTAATTTCTAGAGGAGATTCAGAGATGAGCCTAGATGAAACTCATCATCATGTGTCTTGTAAAGGAAAAGTTAACCAATTTTTCAAACGTGTACAACAGAAAATCGAATTTTAATAAGACGATGAATGTAATAGAGCATAACAGAACAATAGAATAGAATAGAACAGAATAGAATAGAATAGAGGGGAATAAAATGGAATGGAACTTAATAAATGAATAGAATAAAATAGAATAGAATAGAACTGAATGAGATTGAATATAACAAAGGAATTCTATAGGACAGAAATAACTGAATGGGATGGAACAGATGAATAGAATAGAATAGAATGAGATGGAACTTAACAGATGAATAGAATAGAATAGAATAGAATAGAATAATAAAACTGAATAAGATTGAATATAACAAAGGAATTCTATAGCATAGAAAACCTGATAGAATAGAATTACTGAATTAGATGGAACTTAACAGATGAATAGAATAGAATAAAATAGAAAAACTGAATGGGATGAAACATAACAGAAGACATTAATAGAATAAAATACAACACAATAATAAAGCTGAATGAGATTGAATATGACAAATGAATTCTATAGAATAGAATGGAAAAACGGAATGCAATGAAACTTAACAGATTAATAGAATAGAATAGAATAGAATAGAATAGAATAGAAAATACAGGAATGGAACACAACATAACAGATGAACAGGATAGAACTGAACATGAAAAATGAATAGAATTGAGCATAATAGAACCAATTAACAGAATAGAATAGAATATAACAGAATAGAATAGTGCAGAATAGAACTCGCACTACAGAAAACAAGTCCAGAAGCCGAATCTTCATTCAGTGAATATGAGTGCATCAAAAGTGACATATGACGTCATTTATCAGTTTGATCTTACACTGAAAGTCCGAGAGAAAAGAAGCTAAAAGGATTTAAACGCTCTTCTTACGTTCGGTGTCACGTGGATCCGCGCGGGGTTGTGCGAGCTGGCGAGTGGAAACGGCTCTTCATCCCTCGCTCAGGTGTGAAGGCGCGTGTGCGGTTATGAACGTGTAAACTCCGTATAGTCTCTTCAGAGAAACCCGCTCCGTTCACGACGCTCGAATCCGCACCGTGGCGCCAATCTCTCTGCCCGCGCGCGCCTCCAAAGCCTCCCGGGTGATTTTAGATGTGCAGAGTTCCAGCTCACGCGCCGTGGAAGGAGCGACCGTTAAACGGTCACTGCGGCTTCGGTTAAAAGCCAAACAGCGCGGAAATCGCGTGTTTTGTTCTGTTTTTCCTTTAAAAGCGTGAAAACGGAGCTCTTCAACACTTGTTAGTGTGTCAGAGGAAGACCGAGAGAACAGCTTCTTCACCGTCCTCCTCACAGGCGTGACAGGAGCTCGAGCTGGAAAACCAGCCTGTTATTTTTACATCTGCTACTCACGCACCAGTTCACATGGCCGACTAAAGACAGCTGAGAATCGAACATGTTGTTTTCCACAAGCCTGCTAGCCCCACTGGACGACTGTTTACTTCAGATTTTACTTCACGGGGACAAAAGGGTTTCTCTCAGGCGATGAAAGAACCCAAACCAGCCGTCCAGTCACGTCTCCTTCAGGACTGATGGTCTGATCCAGCCGGCCCGGTTCGTCCATTCACGGTAAGATGGTGAAAAGGAGGAGTGCGTGAGGGGCGAGGCGCCCTCTTCTTCCCTGTCCATCCCTGATGTTCTCCTCCAAGCTTTGATGGAGTCCGAGGCTCTGGGAGGATGGAGCTACTCTATCCCCTCCCCTCCCTCCCCTCCCACCCACCCACACACACACACACACAGACACACACACACACGCGCGCGCGCAAACACACAAGTGTGTATTCCCTGCTGATCATTAGAACCAGCGGGATTAAAACATGATGGTTTCGCTTTCTAATGTGAATCAGTTCTTTGTACACCCTTAATCAAGGGTTCTTTAGTTGAGACAGTGGTTCTGTATAGACCCAGGAATACTCTGAGAACCATTTCCATGCTTAAGTAGTTCTTTGCATGGTGAAATGATTCTTCAGACTGATGAGGAATGTGTTCTGTATGCTTCTATATAGAACCTTGTTGAAAATGGTTCTGTAGAGCACCAAAAGGGTTCTGCTACTGTATACAAGCTTGACATTGTAACAATAGCAGAACCTTTTTGGTGCTATATAGTACCATATACAACATGAAAAAAAAAAACATTTCACCATGCAAAGAACCATTTAAGCATGCAAAGGGTTCTCTGAGTGTTCAAGGTTCTATATAGAGCCATTGGAGAACCTTTTTTAGGAGCATATGATATGTGCAGTGTTGATTCAATGCTTAATCGTACTAAATTCAGTTCAGTATTTACACAATATAACACACTTTGCTGACTTTATGTTTGGAGACTTAGCCGCGGGCTTTTATTCCCACGTGGTGGTGCTAGGTTACCTGGCTGGGGGTCGAAACCGCCAGTCTTCTGTAGGCACAGTGATGGTGTTACCTGCTGCGCCATGCTTTACAACACTTACAACACGAACTATGTTTACATGCAGCCTAATAATCCGTTAATAATCCAACTAAAAGCTCAATCGGAATAAAATATGTCCATGTATACACTTTGATCTGAATAGTCTAGTCCAGTTGAGGCCATTCGGAATACAATTTCTATCCGATTGAACGATGTGGGTAATCCTGTAAATAATCCGTTAAATAGAAGAATAATAGTCATGTAAACGCCCGTATCTGATTACATTCCCTATCGGAACGTGTAAGTACGTTCTGCGCATGTGTGTTCGCCTTATAGCTGAAGTTTGTAACGTTCAACGTGGCAGGAGCAGAAACCGGTCTGTAGAGGAGAGTTTATGCTTTGAACTTTAAAAGACGGTGGTCAGAAGGGCATCCAGAACATGACGTCTTCCTCTCTGCCTTCTTTAATAAGTACATCTGAGGTACATTTTTCTGAGTCTGTTATAATTTTACAGCAATTAAAAATGCAAATGCGGCAACTGAAAACTCATCTTGCTGACTGGACCTCACATGAGGTTCGCTGTCATGGTAACGTTTGCTCTAAGTGGTTCTCCACGCATGCGCGTCATTTTGGATCGGATTACTTGTAGTGAGCATGTAAACGAAGATTTTCCATCAGATCGTTGAGTAGAGTGAGTATAAAAACACCTCAGTCTTAATCAGTAATCGGTATGTATTCAATCGGATTGGCAACAATCTTTGCATGTAAACACAGCCACTGACAACACAAGGTATGATCTGTAGCAACTCAAGAATGTGGGTAAACTACATTATATGGACAAAAGTATTGGGACACCTACAGGAGCTTTTATGACACCCATTCTAAACCCATAGACATTAATATGGAGTTGGTTCCCCTTTGCAGCTATAACAGCTTCCACTCTTCTGAGAAGCTTTCTACAAGATTTTGGAGTGTGTCTGTGGGAATTTTTGCCCATTCATCCGGAAGAGCATTTGTGAAGTCGTGAAGCTCCTGATGCGCGGTTCTGTTGCTGATGTTGCTTCTAGAGGCAATTTGGAGCTCTGTAGTGAGTGATTCGACAGAGGACAGGGACCGTGTGCTTCAGTACTCGGCGGCCCTTCTTTGTGGCTAAGCTGTTGTTGTGTCCCAATACTTTTGGCTATGTAGTGTATGTTTAGGATGACTTAATTCCTTTTATCAATGACTCTGGCACTATATTGGTTAGATTTAAGTGGAGTCAAGAGTCAAAATTGAATCCAAAAAACCTGGAGTCATGCAACATTACAATTTTCCACTTACACCAGGTGAAATCAGTCAGCCAAGACACGTTTGATGGTTTCGCTTTCTAATGTGAATTGTCTTAATGGTTATCATTAAAGACCGCTAGTTCCCTGTAGTTCTCCTCGCTCCTGAATATTTCTTATAATGTCCAAGCTTTGTTTCATGTCTACAGATATTAAAATAATCACAGTCTATTAAAAATATGGCTCTTAAACCAAAGTCATGGGCTGATTAAAATTTGCCCACGGGGCACAAATGGCCCTGGGGCTGGACTTTGAACACCCCTGGTCTATATATTGTATGTTTAGGGTGGTTTAAAAGAAAACCTGGAGTCATGCAACACTATAATTTTCCACTCACACCAGTTGAAGTCAGCCAAGACATGTTTGGTGTCCAAATTTAGCCTCTTTAGTTTAGCTCTGGAGCTGAGAGGCTAACATTGCTAACAACCACATAAATAGTCACCCATATCAAAGAAGCAAAATTTGGACACTAAACATGTCTTGGATGATCAACTACATGTGAGATAAGTGTAAAGCTGTAATTTTATTTTACCATACCATTCTTTTAAAGGGGTCTTCTCTGTTGTGCAAAACCTGATGTGTATGGTTTTTTAAAGAGCCTTTAAAAATGGTTCTATATGGCACCATAAATGGTTCTGCTATTGTTACAGCCTCTTTTTGGTCTCCTATAGAACCCTTATTGCAGAGAATATACATATCATCTCACATGAATGTGTTTCGGTGTCATTGTGGGATGTTAGCCTGTGCTTCTGTATGCGTATGAAAAGGCTGTGTGACTCCACACTCTTAGCACAAAGGGTTCTATACCAAAAAGGTTCTGTGACTTAACAACAGCAGAACTTGTTTTGGTGTTTGTTCTTTAAAGAACCATTTATACAACAGTTTTTTTATGTTAAACAGAAAGAACCATTTCAGCATAAAAAGAACCATTAATGCATTCAGATGGTTCTTTGAGATGTCACTGTTCTCTTTACATCCATTGGTTTTATTATAAAACCCTCGAAGAACCATTTTGAACGGTGCACCTAACCAAACCTAACAGTGAAAAATTGGTTGTTTATGTATGTAAGTGTATTAAAACCTTTTAAAAGTTTAAAGAACCTCCA